AGCATGTGTCCTTTAAACATTTCCAAAGTAAGCAAAACAATTAAAACATGGACCTTATATTTAAAAACCAAGTAATTTAAAACACTGAATAGATAAAAATCTGTAAGTTTATTGTAATATGGGGGGGAGGGTCAAGAGACATGACATTTCTTTGCTACTTTTGACGGGTTAGTAACATCACTCCAATACATATTGCAAATATCAATACAATACCAATAATTCAATACCAATTATTTACTCAGAAAACTGGCAATTTAAACATTAAACATTTCTCCTGCCTTTTCAGGAGGGGCTGAAATTCATTCCTAACTTGATGAGAAAAAGTCCTCAAAAAGAATATAAAAGAATGTTAGCTAATACATGAACAAGGAAGGGCAGAATGAGAAAAACATGCAATCTGCAAGTTAATAACTGATGCAGGCAAAGGCAATCACAATCATCACCGTTTACACTCCTCACTAACTGTAAAGAGGAAAGCTTACCTCTATACTCGAGAGAGCTAGTGGTTACCACCTTAGCCCAGCACTGTCAGTAATAAGACCACCCGGTATCATGTGCCTCTGAACAGGATGCTCTATAAACTATTGGTTATTATCTATGAAATATGTTTGTAAAAAATATTTTAGAAGACTCTAATCAAGCCTCTGGGCCTAATTTAGGGTTCAGAAGAACAAAGGATGCACAATACTTAAATATTCCCAGGTTGAAAGCGAAAGCTAAAAGAACACTTTGGGGACAATGGGAAAATTTGAGTATGAACTGGATAGTAGGTGATATAAGAAAATTATTATTAATTTGCCTAGCTGTGATAATGGTATTGTGTATATATTTCAAATGGGTCAAATAGGAAAATTTGAGTTTGCGTATGAACTGGGTATTAGATGATATAAGGAAATTATTGTTAATTTGCCTACCTGGGATAAGGGTATTGTGTATATATTTCAAATGGGTCAACAAAAACTAGAGATAAGTAAAGAGGCTTTACAAACTTTCAGTTATAAGATGAATAAAGTCTAAGGATCACATATAAAACAGGTGACTGCTGCTGATAACACTCCTGTACAACTGAAATCTGCTGAGTAGAACTTCTCGCCAAAAAGATTAAAAACAAAAAAACCGTAATGCAATGATTGTAGTAAGGATTACACAACTGTATATTTTTCAAAATTATCAAAATGTACTTCTAAAGTTGGTGAATTTTATTTTATGCGAACTCAACCACCATAAAGTTGATTAAAAATTAGATATATGTAAAGTGTTTAACTCGCTCCCCTTACAAAAAAAAAAAAAGATAAAGCAAATATGACAAAATGTTAACTGCTGAATATAGGTGGTATACAAGTGACCACAAAAGCATTTTTTCAACTTTTCTGTAAATCTGAATAACTTTATCAGCTGAGGAAAAAAATAAGTAAAAATTAATTTAATTAATGGGAGGTATAATTATATAACAGTCATGTTTTCATAAGTTAACAAATAATTTTCTTGACCAAGTTGATATTTGACATATTTAAATAAGAAGAGCAGTGGAATTTACCGTTAAGAGTTCAGTTTTCAGGTGAATAGAAGAGTTAAACCTGAGGTAGAAGTAGGAACTGCAAAAAGAAAAGTTTCTACAAAGAAAAGGCAGGAATTAGCACTGGAGAAAATTAAGATGGGCAATATTACAAAGCTACAGAATGGAAGATTTTCCCATCTGTTCAATCTTTGCAATTAGCAAGTAAATTACATTCGCTTTCCCACCTTTAACTCTTACCTCATAGTTTAATCTTTTTTTTAAATTGATTCTAGAGAGGGAGAAAAAGAGAGAGAAAGAGAAACATCGATCAGCTGCCTCCTGCATTTGAGCCTACAACCCAGGCATGTGCCCTGGCCAGGAATCGAACCGGTAACCTTCCGTTACACGAGATGACGCCCAACCCACTGAGCCACACCAGCCACAGCTCATAGTTTAACCTTCCCTTTTTAATTTTAGACAAAAGTCAGAAACAATATAAGAGATACCTGTCATCAGTTCTCAGAGTCAAATATAACCCATGCTGTTCCCAAGTCTAAGGCAAGTCTATGCAAATTACTACATTTCCTGTGAATTTGCAATGGTCAATTGTGGAACCACCACTGGGATTGCTAAGTATGCTGATTTCAGTCATCTTAATAATGGAGTCGATTGAATACAGAATCCCATTAGTTGCTGGGTCATCAGCCTTTATTACCACAAGGAAAAACGAGTCAATTGAAAAAAGGTCAATTCAGTCAGGCCATGTAAACACTGTTAACCACTTTTCAGGAATTAGACCCTTGTCATCAGACAAGAAAATACAGATATACTGCCTATAATACAGAGGAGTTCCCTTATAACTGCCCCAAGCCACTGCGCCCAGAGGTAGATTGGGGCTTTGGGCTCAGAACCCCATTTCAGGACTACCTTATACTTCAAAACTGACTCAGAGTAAGTATTGAGATAGAAAAAAAGTCTAATTTTGCCTTCTAAATCTAGTCTAGTAGCGTGTCTATGAAGAAACAGAAACATAGTCCACAAATTTTTATCTATATTTCTACCCACTATGAAAAGAGTGAGCCATACAACCTTCCTTGTTAGCTAGACAAGTTCTATCTCCCCTGAGTCTATTTCTTCACTGAAAAATAGAAATAACATTCCTGTACAACAGGGCCCATGTCAACCTGCTCTGCCTACCTTAAAGAACTGTGATAAAATAAAGGGAATACCTTGAAGACTGCTTTCAAATAAAACAAATGACTTTAAAAATATTTGTTTAAGTTACATTTTAATTTGGTTTATGATTATCTATATTCCACTGTATGACATGTAAGAAGAAAATTCATAGACTTCCATTTTTACCACCCAGCTACCTAGTAAGCAGGTTAGACAAAAATCATCTATGTAGAATTCTTGCCAAAAATTTAACCTGGCCAGTGTGGCTCAGTTGGTTCAGTGCCGTCCTATGCACAGAGAGGTTCTGGTTCGACTCCAGGTCGGGGCACATGCCCGGGTTAAGGGCTTGATCCTCAGTAGGAGGCGTGTAGGAGGCAGCCAATCAACGTTTCTCTCTCATCGATGTTTCTTTCTCTCCCTCTCCCTTCCTCTCTCTCTCTAAAATCATTAAAAACATTAAAAAATCACTAGTGAAATAATTAGTCAAATGCAGATTTGGGGACTGGCCTAGATTTTTCAAAAATATCATTGTAATGAAAGACCAAAGGAAAAAAAAGGCAGGTAGGGCACAAGTTAGATAAAAAGGAAATAAACAAAAGACATAGTGACCAGATGCAATTTGTGATCCTTGATGGGGTCTTGGATAAAACAATAAATAAAAATGAGAAAAAACATTTTGGGGACAACTGGGGCAACTTACCCTGTGTATTAGATATTATTATTTTGTCAACAATAAATTTCTTGAGTATGCTAATAATATTATGGTTATTAAGGAAATGCCCTTTTTAGGAGAAACATTCTAGGGAAAAATGTTATGCTTTTTGCCACTTACACTGAAATGGTTCAGAAAAAAATTTAAACTATTTAGAGAGAAAGCAAATGTGGCAAAATGTTAACAACAGATAAAGAATCTAAATAAAGGGTACACAGGGGTTCATTATTCTATTCTTTCAACTTTTCCATACATTTGAAATTTTCAAAAGACTAATAAGGTGGAGAAAAGTGAATTCTGCTTAAACAAAACAAAAGAAAAAGTTAGCAAATAATAAAAAATATCAATTTTCCAATAATAAAATTGTACTTTCATAAACTTAATTTTCTAAACTAAAATAAATTCACTCTGTTGTAATATTGAGGTATATTATTTAAGAGCAACATCAATCTTTCTAACAGACAAAACAGATAAATTAAGTGAAATTAATTATATAATAAAAGGTCTCACTGAAGGATTTCTTTCAAGTAAAATGCAGTGTAATTTCAAAAGGCAAGATAGAAACAGACCCTATAATATTACTGGAAAAGGTCATAGAAATTAACTCAGGTCCTTATAGATTAGCAAACTAGTATCTCCATGTTCTTCAGGACGTATCACTTTACATTTTTCTTCAAAAAAAATTTAAAGACAAGTACAACATGCAGAGTAAACAAATGGGATGGCTCATATTTTATCATATACTTCAATTCATCCATTCCAACGGCAAGCAAATCAAAACAACTAGAAACAATTAAAGTGTAGTCCTTAGGAAGAAAAACAGATATTCTGCTCTATAAATGCCACTGAAGTACTCTACAGTGGAAATGCTAAAAAATGGGGGGGAACCTCCAGTAAACACTAAACTGAGATTACAGATGAAGATCAATTTAAGATCCTGGGATAAAAGAAAGTAAGTCTGGCTTATTGTGAAGAGATTTCCTATAGATTTATGGGTGAAAGAATTGTTACTAAATTTTAATCATCTCCTTTGTATCAATTGTGTGTGTGTGTGTGTGTGCGCGCGCGCACGTGTGTGTGATAGATTCTCTAGGTGGTGTAGTGCTACTTTTAAATGCAGTGTAAGCACTCAAGTATTCTAAACGAACTGTCAGGCTTTCCTGTTCTGACAGAAGGTTGGACAACTGCCCATCAATCCCATAAGAAATCAGAGGGTATACTCAGAAATGTCTTTTTATGGACTCATCTAAATATCAACTAGAAAGAATATCACTATAACATGAGCTAACAATTTATGTTTACATAATCTCTTAACTAAATGAATTCATGGAAAATTTAAATATCCTGTTAATGTGGAGCTATATTCTCAGCTTTAAAATCTATTTACTGGTATAGATTTCCAATTACCATGTTTTCTTAGGAAATATACAGCATTTCCTTCATAGAATTAGCTCTATAATGAAAAGAAAAATAAAATTAATTCTCTTTATGAATTAACCTATTTTTAACAGTACTTACCTTTTCTTTATAAGATGGCAACAATGTAAATTGCATAGAAATAGACAAACTTCATTAAATGTTATATTTTTATTTTCAAAATAGCATTTTATTTACCTTGTTAATGGACACTACCAAAGCTGGTTCCACTTTAGCTTCAATTTCTTCTGGAGTGTAAAAACAATAGAGTTTACCTCCTCTCAAAACACAATACAACCTTCTCCAACTAATCAGGCCTTCTAACATTTGCTGGGGGGGAAAAAATCAAGAAACAATCAACCTTAAACCATCATTTATCATCTTAACTGTAAATTCAACAAAATACTTAAACTATCAGTTAGTTTTTTGAAATTTTTAAATGTGATAGTTACCCATTAATTTACTATATAATAAGTCAATAGCCCAACACCAAAGAGTAAGTTAATATTAGAGAATAAAGGTCTGGTATTCTCAAAAGCATTAAATAAGCAAAATGGAGGTAATGATTACCACAAAACATTTACACACATAAAATCATAAATCAATGCAGTTTTTAAAAGCTAGTCTATTAAAAACGAGTACTCAGAATTCTACAGCAATTCACCGACTCAGGAAAATTATAAAAATAACTCAATATTCAAAATACAATTTTCCCTTACTGTTCTTAGAACACTGGAAAATGTTGACTACCCTGTACGAATGCAAATTTTCTTTCCTCTTAATGGAATCTTTTAGAAAACGCTATTGATTCATTGAAGCCCATAATTAATTATTTACTGAATATAAATAACTATGGTTATAAATAAATCAGGAGTAGGTGGCACAGAAGCAGCTTTGGAAGCTCAGAGGCCTACACTGTGCCAAAAGCTGTCTGCCAGAAAGGCCTTTATGAGAAAGGTGTTGAGCAGTCCTCATCGGTTTCCACAAGGAGTCCTCTGCTGCTGATTATTCTGTTACTGCAATTCATGAAGCAGAGGAACCTGGAGAGGTAGCTCCTTAAACATCCAAATTGCACTAGACCCCTCCCCTTCCTCCCTTCTCATCCCCAGGTCTCCTCCCCAACCCCCCAGTCTATGTCTAACACGGAGAAAACTGTTGTTTTTAAAAGAAGGCTCTCAAAAATACTTCTCAATATCAGGATTAAGATCTACACTGGAGCTATAATTATTGTAGCATATTGAAAGTCCTCTAACCTGCTGATTAAGAAATCCTGCAAATGCATCGTCAGCCATACAAGCTGGCTGGGCGACTAATCGGCAGCACATGTTGCCAAATAAGGGAAGCCAAAATGAAGACTCCTCTATTTAAACGAGAGAAAAAAATCAAGTTACAAATATATGTTTAAGGTCATTACATATTTTTTTCTTTTTACAATTTTTTTTTTTTTTTTGCTTTTCATAAGGACATATATAAAGGTTCATCCTACTCAAATACCAGTACCATATTTAATGACAAAATCAAAGAAGAGATGATATTAAGCTGATAGCTTATACTATGCTATAACCTGGAATAGACATGAAACTTTTAGTTTCTTGAGCTCTCATTTGATCTTAAAATACTTAATCAATAGAGGTAGTTCAGGGTATATAAGTAAACTCATTTAATAAAAAAAATTCTAATAAAGTGATTTCTGTACGTCAAATTCTAATTTTGCTCTTTCATTATAACTAGCAAAGTGATTCTCTGAATAAAACATTTCAGAGCACAACTTTAAGATAATAATTGAATAACCCTTTTTGTCTTTCCTCTCCTTCTTCCCCTTTCCTAACTGAATAATTCACTTGTAAGCCATCAGATGGAGTTCACCAAGTTGGCATCTGTTCTGGGGTTGGGGTGAAGCTGTGGTGTGCCACAGCTGGGTGCTAGAGGACAGGGAGCGTGAGTAAGAGCGCTGCCTGGCATGAGGAATCAGAGCCTGAATGGGCTCAGGAGGACAGATCACATGGAGCACAGCCTAGAACCGAAAGGAGACCTCTGCTCAGGGGATGGCCTGGTGTTGGGAGTCAGGCCGGAGCAGGGTGAGGAGGGTGTCTATGTGGAGTGGCTGCCTCATGCGAGGTATCAGAACCCAAGTAGCGTAAGACGAGTGTGCACATTTGGGGGAGGGCCAGCAATGGAAGTCAGAGTCTGAGGGCAGTGAAGAAGCCGTCCACACATTCGATGACCAGAAAAGTGTGTCAGAGCTCAGTAAGAAAGGCATCCAAGCAGAGGGACAGCTGGGCATGGGTGTCAGAGCACAGGCAGGCTGGGGAGGGGGTCCACAAGGGAAGAGGGTGAGGACACCCAGGCATGGGGAGGTAAAGCCCAGACAGGGAGAGGAGTGTCACCTGGGTGAGGGGCTGCCCAGAATGAGGGGCCAGAGCCCTAACAAGAAGTAACGGGGAAATGGTTGCTCTCAGGGAGGCTGATCAAAGAAGAAAAAACATGGAAGATAATAGGAAACAGGCTTCTCACTGTCAGAAAAAGGACTTACAAATATGTGGAATGAACTCTCTGTGGTGTTGGATTAGAACTGGATGTGCTGGTATGAAAGGGTTTTCAACATATAGAGATTAAGAAATACATGACAAAATATATGTGCATATAGGTAGCTGTCCACGGAGTGGGGCTAGGAAAAGCAACACTCTAACAGTGATACTCTAATAGCAACGAATATACCTAGAGCCCAGAGCATGTCTTCTAAATGTTATTTCCACTAGAAAGAACCAGCATTCCTTGGAGAAATGGCCGATTCCAGGGCTGGGGCAGGGAAAGTACATGATGGGCCTGAAATATCTTGTTATGCCATAAAGCAAGGGAGTTCTTAGGAATGACGAAGACCTGCCAAAACACAGGCGGCATCTTGAATGTGCTCCTATTGGCCAAATTGGAGACAAACTGAGCCTCAAAATAAACAATGATATTAACAGATTATGATGCACTGAACAAAACAGAAAAACGTAAGTCCATAGTGCTATAAATACATCAATTAATAAATTGAAAGTCCAATAAGAAATAACCTACATAGTTTCAATGTACCCCCCTTCTCACACACAAAATATGTATTTATTACAAAAGGGGAAACAAAAGAGGAACTTTACAGTAGAAAAGCTTGGTAGACACCACCTTAATCCAACGATTAAAGTGAAAATCATCAGTAATAGGATGAATCAAAATTACATGCCACCTAATGGATGCACTGAACACAACATCACTCCTGTGATATTTCCACCAAAGATGTATATCCAGAATCTTAACCCAAAAAAACATCAGACAAACCCAAACTGAAGGACCTTCTACAAAATAACTAACCATGATGTGTAAAAGTGTTAAGGTTATAAAAGCCAAGGAAAGACCAAAGAACTGGTCCAAACTGAAAGAAACTAAGGAAGCATGATAATTAAAGGCAATCTGTGACTCTGTACTGGATCCCCCTCTGTCATGAGGAACATCACTGGGACAATGGGCAATACCTGAACCGAGTCTGAGAATTAAACGGTAGTAATGTATCATTATTATTTTCCTGACTTGGGTGGTTGCAGTGAAGGAGCCGGATGTCCTCCTAGTAGGAAATACATATTAACTTACTTGGGGGTAATGGAGCATCATGTAAGCATCTTACTCTCATATATTTTTTGGGGGGAAAAGATCTTCACATTCAACTTGTAACTTTCCTATACATTTGCAAATGTTTAAAAAAGGTCTTTCAAAAAGCATTAAGCTACTCCTTTAGTATGTGTGCAGGTAGATAAATAGCCTTCAAATCCATATGGAGAGCACCGCATAATTTATTCTGTTTATCAGGGTATACATAAAAACCTAGTATATGGCACTCTGACCACACACAAAGAATTTTTAAAGTCTTCACTGACCCCTGTTGGCAGTACCTATAAAACAGCCAGCCACTGGCTTTTACTATTATTGCCCAAAACGTCTTAATAACTCTGGAAAATAAAACATTTTTGGTAAGAACTACAATTATTTAATATATAGATGCAATGCAGCCAAAGTTTCATACATCAGTTAAGTGAAAAAGACAAGCCTAAAATGATGAGTACAAAGTAAAACAAAACAGTTTTCATTAACTTACCTGCTCAACATTCTATTACAGAATAGCACACAACAAATTGTCCGGGACCATTCAAATCTTTTTATTAATACCTCGTTAAAGATTCTATCTTTCAGAAATAAAGGATTTGACCTGGGAGATATAAATGCATAAACACAATAAAGGAAATGATCCCCAAATGCAGACATAAATAAATAAAACCTAGCTGGTGTGTTCAGTGGTTAGAGCATTGGCCCACGCACCAAAGGGTTGTGGGTTCGACTTGACTCCTGGTTAAGGGCATGTACCTGGGTTGCAGGTTCGATCACCTGCCCTGCTTGGGGTGTGTGTGGGAGGCAACCAATCGATGTGTCCTTCTCACATTGCTGTTTGTTTCTCTCTCTTTCCCTCCCTCCCTCCCTCCCTCCCTCCCTTCCTTCCACTCTCTCTAAACATCCTTGGGTGAGGATTAATAAATAAACAAATAAATAAGAACCTTATTTCCTAAAATAGGCAGGAAATGAAATAAAAATTATATAAGAGTATATATCCAAGTAACACATCTGAAATAGACTTTGATTTATGAATTTAAAATTTGAAAGCAAATTTATTTATATAGTAATCCAAGATTCGTTAATAACTGAAGTTCTAACTATCTGTAAGCTAGTTGTTTTTAAGTTAGGATGCACTTCCTAAAATAATAGAATCATAAATGATGATTAGTTTTTCAGGCCAGTTCATAAAGTTCTATCAGTAATGTACTAGGACCCTAAATACCACATGAAACAATGTGTTTCTCTGGTAAAATAAGTTTAGATTTCATAGCCCACCAAGAAAAAGAATTCCTTCCTGACTGCAGTCCTTAAAAGGGGATATTGGATGTAGAATTCCTTTCCACATACCCTGCAATCAGCTGTTACTTTGTGGAACAAAATGTAGTCACAGCTTCTTTCTTCTTCAGACAAGAAATATGGCATCTTGGCTAGTCATTTAATCTATCTTGGTATCAATTTCTCATTAAAAAAATACTACCCATGTTAAGTAGGAGGGTTGTGAAAATCAAATAAGATAATGTGTATATGACATCTATCATTGTGTCTGGCACATAGTACAAGCTTCTCATAATTTCACATCCAGGGTAGTCGCACTCCCCAAACCATGCCCGTTCCATTTCTCACTGCTGCCTCTTAGTCCTTATGCAACACATTTAATCAAAATACCCAATTCTTCTTTTCTAGCCAAGGGAGGTATTAGGACACAATAAAATGAAACAGGAACTGAGAACAGTTTGACTTTTCATTACTAAAAGATTTTATCTAATTCATCTGTACTTTCAAATGGGGAACAAAATGGAGTTTCAAAACGACAGAAACAACAAAAACAATACACAGGCAAGAGAAAGAACCCAGATAACATCTCAGCTCTATGTGAGTCAATCTCCACAATGTGGTTTCACTGTTTTATAAAAAGTATAAAAATTTCTTGATGGCAAATATAAACCTCAAGATACCATTTTGGCTTTTCCCTTCAAGTAGCAAGAATAAAGTTGAGTTATAAATTTCAAAATTCTTGTATTTCCTTTTGATTTTATAGTTTAGGTAGATGGTAACATAATTTTATTTAGGAAAACCCCATTACACTAACATACTTATATTAATGAAAAAATTAGAAGGTGGCTTTTTTTCTGTATAAAATTTTTCATTATAAGATTTACTTTCAAGTGTTTAATTTAAAAACAGTTTTAGAAAACCCCTATGCCATAAAGACTTAGGCATATAGGTTACTGTTTCTTGAATTATTTTTCAGTGGAATCCACAAGTTCCAACAGTTCAGGGTGTCACTGTTTTAAGCATAGGTTTTCTTAGTCTTTAATATGTAAATCTGTATTGTGTTTCTCTGAGGGCCATAACCACACAGTTCCCATGCTTATTTGCCCATGAGCATTTTATTACAGGAGACTCTAGTAATACAGAACATTGAAGACAACTGGGAAATTACTGCTAAATGTGATGTCTCCTTTGTGAATTTTATTCCTTTCCACAACTTTTAAGATGATTTGGTTGAAAGAATGGGGCCTTTCAACATCAAGTCCATTATTCACACATCGATAGTATTTTGAGTCTTTAGTTGCTTTAACAGGAATCATGCCTGATCAGAAAGCACAGCAGAAAGAGCACAGCTTGTCCTGGATTATTTAAAGTCTACCTCCCACTTGCTAGCTGTATGATCTAGTGTGCTACAGTCTCTAAACAGTTCTTTACTCATCTGTAAACTGTAAATGATAAGAAATGAGGAACTTGCGAAGGTCACAGAGCTGGCCAGTGGTAGAAATAGAACATGAATCCAAGGCTGACAGCCACACTATTAACCACTTTATTGTAATGTTTCCTTATAACAACATCTCACAGTGACTAAGGATAAAAACTGCTTTAAAAGTGCTTGTTTGCTTGTTTATTTATTTCTAGTTTATTGTGGCAAGAACACGTAACAGATCTACCCTCTCAGATTTTCAAGTGTACAATACAGTACTGTTCAAGTAGGCACCGTGTTGTACAGCGGATCTCTATAACTTACTCATCTTGTAGAACTGAAACTTTAGGCCCTTTGACTAGCAACTTTCCATTCCCTGCTTCTCCAGCCCCTAATAACTGCCATGCTACTCCCTCTGCTTCTGTGAGTTTGACTATTTTAGCTACCGCATTTCAGCAGAATCACACAGTATCTGGGTATTTGTCCTGTGACCGGCTATTTCAGTTAGCATAATGTCCTCAAGGTTCATTCATGTTGTCACATACTGGAGAATTCCTTCCTTTTTGAATTCTGAGTAATATATCACAGGGCAGTGTCTGGCACATAATAGGTACTCAACATATGGTAGCAATATTGATAGTTCTGGAGAAATGACACAAATGGGATGCCAACAAACTTCATTTGCCAAATTTTCTGATTAAATTGATAATTCTAATATTATTGCAACTTCAGATTTTGGGTGACAAAAGGCTAGACTGTTCAGACTAATCCTTTTACTGAAAATGCTTAATTAACTACAGTTTAATTTTTTTTTTCCCCAGAGCAACAGAGACGTAACAAAACTGTAAAAAATTACCAGTACAAATTGAATAAGTAAGAACCAGTGAGGTAAGGGAGCACAGAAGCTGTGTTTGTCCTGATAGCATTTGCCAATCCCAGCAAATCTGAATTAATGATTTAATGATTTTGCATGATAAGAGAAGCAAAATAGAAATCTGCTCCTGATTTCTGAACAATGTAAGCAGTTTAATGGGAAATTTTCCTCATACTAAGCTATTATCCCAAAGGAATCAGTAACAGGATAGTAGTGAGCCAGAAGTAAACCTACCCTGCTGCCCAGAATTCCCACTGCCTGGAGATGGGGATGGGAGGGGTACAGAGAAACTCAGACTCGGCCTTTCCAAAAGCAGCATAAATAAAATTCTGCACCTATGTCATAGTGAAACTTCAGAAAACCAAAGACAACAAGAAAACAGAAAGTTACCTTCACAGAAGCGACACACTGACAAATTATTTTCAACAGCTAGTAAAAGAAGCCAGAAGATAGTGGAATTATGTCTTTAACAGTAAAAAAATTTTTTAAACTGCCAAATTTCAATACTCTGTAAAAAAGTTACTTTCAACAATGAAGCAAAATAAAGTCATCTTCACACAAAAACAAAGAATCAAGAAGTATGACACCAGCAGAAAAGACTAGAAGAAATTCTAAATTATCCTTCAAGGAGAAGGAAAATGATCCCAGATGTCAGGTTTAAGATGTAAATAGTCCACAGAAACATGTAGGTGAATCTAAATAAACATTAAATGCATAAAACATTTTGTAAAATTTAAAAATCAAATAGAATTATGATACATAACAATAGCACATAGGTCAAAGAAACGGAGTTTAACTGTTCTAAAGTCCTTGCATTGTCCAAGGGAAAGGTAAAACTACTTTTTAATTTTATACTTTCATAAGTATTATTAATAATATTTCTAGATGCAATTTCTAAAAGATGGGAACAAGAATTATAACTTTAATTAGAACAAGGAAAAAATGAAATGATGAAATGACCAAACCTTTAAAAGGCAAGACAGAATAGAAAAACCACCACGGAATAGGAAAGACAAATAAAAATAAAAACCACAGGACCTGATGGCAGATTTAAACACAAATATTCGATCTAATGTGGGTTATAAACTATTTGGTATTAAATGCAAAATGACTAAATGCTCCATTAAAAAATACTCATAAATATTGTCAACTTGGATAAAAATAAAAGTCTAATACATAATCCTGTTAAAAGAAGCATATCTACAACATAAAAATAGGTAGTTTGAGGTAAAAGTGGAATAAAATACACAATTAAAAACTGTGTGAATCGAAGAGTACTAGAAAAATCCATAATCAGCAGATTTTATTACAACTCTCACAATAATATAGAATATGTAAACTAAAATAATTATTTCTATATATTGCTATATATTTCTTTTGGATAAACTACAACTACCAATATCATCCAGAGAGAAAAGGGTTAAGATTAATTTAGCCCTAAGGGTTGGCTTCCTCAATATCAAATTTAAAAATAAGACAGGTCTTTGACTGCCAACTAGAAGGTGGTGAAGTCATCAATTTCAAGTCAAAGACAAGGGTTCAGAATATAAAAAATCTTTCTGTTCTCACTAAGCTGGCCTCACAAACAAATCTCTGGCAAATAACATGGACAGAGGAAAATAAACTGTTCACTTTTGGGGACAAGGGATGGACATATTTGGAAAACCCACAGAATCACTCATGCCTACATTATTTAAGCCAATATCCATTTCAGGGGAACATATTAAAATTAGAAGTTATTACTGTCACCACATATATATCAACATAACATATGTAACGTACTTACCATTTCCATTAATAGACAGATTATGGGTCTTGAAATTGTCCTCAGCATTTTCCAAGGTCAGTGCAGTATGAGCTAGTAAATGATACTTTGCACCACTGATAGTGAGGAAGGAGACATGTTTTAAGTACGCTAGTATAATTTCTATTGCATAAAATACTTAGATGTCCGACAACAAAAAAATAAACCTGATTTAAAAATGGGGAAAGGACTTGAACAGACATTTCTTAAAAAGAGATATACAAATGGCCAATAAAGACATGAAAAAATGCTCAAGATCATTAGTGATTCAAAGCCATGAGGATGGCTATTAATAAAAACAAAAACAAAACAAAACAAAACAACAAAGAAAAACAGAAAAATAGAAAATAACAAATGCTGGCCAGAATGTGGACAAATTGGAACCTTTGTGCATTGCTGACAGGAATATAAAATTGTGTAGCCACTATGGAAAACAGTATGGTGGTTCCTCAAAAGATTAGACATAGAATTACCATATAATCCAACAATTCTACTTCCAGGTATATACCCAAAAGAACTGAAAATAGGGACTCAAATAGATACATGTAAACCCATGACAATAGCAGCATTATTCACAATAGCCCAATAGTGGAAGAAGCCCAAGTGTCCATTCAAGGGTGAAAAGATAAACAAAATGTATATACATATCATGAAAAGTTATTCAGCATTAAAAAGGAAGAAAATTCTGACACGATACAACATGGATGAACTGCAACGACATCGTGCTTAATGAAATAAGTCAGTCACAAAGGACAAACACTGTATGATTGCACTTATATGAGGTACCTAGAAAAGTTAAATTCATAGAGGCAGAAAGGAGAATGCAGATTTCCAGGGGCTGGGAGGACGGGGAACCCGAGTGTTATTGTTTAATGGTACAGAGTTTCAGTTTAGGAAGATAAAAAAGTTCTGGAAATAAATGGTGGTAGTGGTTGCATGCCATTGTGTATGTACTTAAAGCCATTGAACCATATACTTAAAAATGGTGAAAATGGTAAATTTTATGTTATGTATATTTTACCAAAATAAAAAAATGAAAAAAACACATTTAGATGTTATGAATGACAGTTTAAAGTTAACATAAATGATTAATCAACTCTTTATCTCTTTATGCTATTTTATCTTAAGAACATCTGAAAAATATCTGGTTTAACTTACAAATGTTTCTTTAAAAGGATCCCCATTCAAAAATATTAACTGAACACCTAATATGTGCCAAGTGTTATGCAAGGTGATGGGCATTCATGGTAAACAAGACTCAGTATTATATTCTGATGCAGGAGAGGGAAAAAGTAGAGGGATAAATCAAACATTGGCATTTGAAAGCTACAATGAAACTCTTTCTGTGAAAGAAACAACAGGTAGGAGAGCACAGTACTGAGGACCTATGACAGACAGGGGACTCGGGAAAGGGTTCTCTGCAGAGCTAACGGTTATGAATAAAAGGATGGGAACAAGCAGAGAATGCAGAAAAACGCTGTAAGCAGAGAGAACAGCATGTGCAAAGCGGCTGAAAGAACACAAGTGGGGCTGAAGCAAAGCGAGCGAGTGGAAAACATGGTCAGTACAGGCAGGGATTAGATCGCCTAAGACTGTGAGCCCCAGGAGAAGGGTGGGTTGTGTTCCAGGTTCCAGGTGACGTGGGAAGTCACTGGAGATCAGTAAGAAGGGGAGTGACGGTATCCTACTCATATTCATTTCCTGAGGCAAGACTAAATCTCTTTTTTCTGGCTTACTAACTTTAAAGATTTGGAACTTTTATCTATAGTATCAGGAAATGGGGGATTTCATTACTAGTCCCATTTTTCCATTATGCCACCTTTGTTAAAATAGCACTATTGCCAAAGCATCTAAAAATTTTGATGATAAATTCCATATCCTGACACCCTGATAAAAAGTAAGTTTTTGTTCAATAACTGTATTTTCTGTGTTAGTAATCTTAACTTTTTTATGTTTCATTTTTATTGATTTCAGAGAGAGGAAGGAAGAGGAGAGAGAGAAACATGAATGATGAGAGAGAATCACCCATCAGCTGCCTCCTGCACCCCCCTACTGCGGATTGAGCCCAAAACCCAGACATGAGCCCTGATGGGGAATCAAACTGTGATCTAGTTCATGGGTTGAAGCTCAACCACTGAGCCACACCGGCCAGGCTAGTAATCTTAATTTTAAGACTTTTCATGGCTTTTTAATTTTCCAAAATAGTAAAAATATTAACATTTGAAACATTAAGGAGCATGTTTTAAAAAAAGAAGACAAACGGACAGACAGAAATATAGACAAACCTTAGAGACAAAGAGAGAAGTCTGATGGGAATCTTTATTAACTGTGCCAGGTTATGTTTCATAAACCTTCTTTGTCTCTTGCTAAATCTTTAATAAAATCTCTATTACAAGACAAAATATGTATATAGGTAGTAAGTATGCAATGCATCGGCTTCCTTAGTAAATAATGCCATACCCCACAGAATGTTACTCACTTTGAGAACACCTCGTTTTTCCCAGTTATATTGAGAAATAATTGATATACATCGCTGTATAAGGTATGCAGCATGATGGTTTATCTTGTTTGTTTTTTTTAAAAAACTAAAACTATATTTTTATTGACTTCAGAGAGAGAGGAAGGGAGAGGGAGAGAGAGAGAAACATCAATGGTGAGCGTCATTGGTCGGTTGCCTCCTGCACGCTCCCTGCTAGGGATTGAGCCCAAAACTCGGGCATGTGCCCTGACCTGGAATTGAACTGTGATTTCCTGGATCACAGTGGATGCTCAACCACTGAGCCACGCCAGCCAGGCTATCTTGGTTTTAATATGCAACCATCATAGACCAGAGATATCTCTCAATACCAAATGTTTTTTGTCAGAGTTTATATAGGAAAATTTATGTTTCTGTCTCCAAAACTTTTTTTTAAAGAAAACAATGCATAAGTAAAGTTTCAAGTTACATTCTGAATACAACTGGTATAATGTCAGACTCATATGTACAATTTTGGAAAAGTTCACTAAGTATCAACAAATCTCCACTGTTGCTCGAGCTAAGAGCACCGGATTCATACTTAGTGTGGCCATTCTCTGCTGTTACTCACTTATCCTGACAAGTATCTACAGTGCCTTTCATAATTAGCTCGTTTTTTCCCTAGTGTTAGACTATGAGTCTGACCCCCCCAAATAGTTAAGGAAATATTAAAGAAAACTATGGAGAAAGAATTAAAACAATTGAGACTAGCAATTACAATGAAAGAGCAAACACTGCTATACACAAACTGCCTATTAACAATCATATTTGCTGTTTGGTAATTAGGGTGTAATAGTTAAAGTATTATTTCAACATAATTTGCCACTGATATATAGGCTTTATGGAACTGCATTATCATTTTTTCCATTTAAAATAATGGGAAATAGACTCCCTGTTAGCATTTTAGTGCATTTTTTTATTTTCAGGAAGAGGTTATTGACAATGAGTGGATAACTGGTGCAAGGAAGTGATACTAGGTGTGTGTGACAAGAGGCTAGTGTGGCTGGAGTACAGGGAGGGAGAGGGAGAAGGAGAGGGAGAGGGAGAGGTCCAAAGGCAAGCGGGAGGCAGACAGTGTGCATGACAGTGCTGTGTAGGGGATGACAAAATCACTGGATTTTATTCTGAGTGAAATGGGGAGCAAATGGTAGGTTTTGAGCTATGTGCTACGATCCGACTTGCATATTTTGCTGCTGTATGGGTAACAGACCACAGAGGCCAAGAGAGTGAAAATGGAGATGCGAACTAGAAAGCTATTGCAGTTGACCAGTCTAGAGCTGATGAAGGCCTGGAACACGGTGGGAGCTGGCAGGGCGGTGAGAAGCGGTAAGACCCTTCATTGGACGAATGTGAAAGAAAGAGTCAAGGACAACTCCAAGGCTTTCAGCCCGAGCAGCTTGAAAAATGGAACTGTTATTAACTACAATGAGGCCAAGAGAAGAATAGATATGGAAAGTAAGAATTTAGTTTTGGAAAGTTAAGTTTGAGATTTTTTTTTTAGATATCTAGATTGTATAAAGGGTAGGCAGCTGGATATTTGATTCTGGAGTTAGGAGAGGAAAAAACTTTGGAGAATTAAATTTAGAAGTTACCAGTACATAGAATTTAACTAAAGTTAGAAAGTTAAAGAAAGCCCAAGGACTGAATTCTGGGGCACAAACACTCCATCATTTCAGACTGAGTTGAAGAGCAATGAACAAGGGAGACAGGTGAGGGACAATCACTAAGGTAGAAGAAAACTCAAGGAAGTAGTATCCTAGAAGGCAAGTTAAAAGTCTTTCAGGGAGAGTGATCAACTGTGTTACATGACGCCAAAAGGTCCCGGAAAAGGAGTGCTAACAACCGACCACAGGCTCCGGGAACATGGAGATCACTGCTGACCTTGACAAGACTGCATTTTCTGCAGGGTGGGACGGAGGTAACAGGATGGGAGCCGACTACAACGGTCCGGGAGAGAATGGGAGGAGGAAAAGTGGGGACAGGGCATATAAAAAGCTCCCTTTTCTGTAAAAGACAGCTGTGAATGGACAGGAGAAATGAGAGGTATTTCAGGATGTTTGAGGAAAATTGATGTAGAGGCGGGGGGTGGTGTGTATTTTCAAGTAGTTGAGAAAATGCAATCCAGTGCACATGTAGGTGGCCTGAGATGAGGCAAAGGCAGTTCACAAAGGAAAGCGGCAAGTAAAGATTCAAATTCTAGTAGATTCTGTAGATATCAAGTTCTCTTCCGATTGCTGCAGCAGTGTCGGTGATACACGCAACAGTCATCAGCTCTGAACAGGAGTGGAGAGAGGCGTTGGAGGTTTCAGAAGAGAGAGTAACATCCTTACTGGAAAGGCTTACCCTGAAGTGAGGCGGAGTGGAAGGCTAGGGAAACAGGATTGCTCAGTCCTACTGAAAGCTCACTTACGGTTAGTGACCATGTGTCTAAAGCGAAACCAGTCAGTACAACTCTTTTTGTCATGATACAGGTGCAGAGCAGCTAAAAGTAAAATTTAACCAAGGTTGGAGTTTTTCAATGTTAAGTATGACAAAAGGAGAAAAATGCCAGGGAAGAGTAAA